GTTTGTGTTCTTCATAACCTGTGTAAGTTACATGGGTCACGAAGAAAACATAAACCTGTATACACTTGTACGGAAGTGTTAACTTTCAAATTAATTTAACCGTTTGTATAATGATCATTATCCGAGCATTTTAGTTACTTTTTTGGGGAGACAGAGCATTTTAGTGGGAAAAATGGAGCATTAAGGTGGAGCATTTTAGTGGGGAAACAAAAGCATAATGTACAAAAGCCTAGCCCTGACCCTCCCTACCTCCCCCATCGCAGTTTATATCTAAGGGGTGCTTAATACAGCTTCAGCACCTTTTAAGGAGGGGGGGTCGGTATGGTCCACCATGCGTTTTACTAAGCATTAGAAAAGGTTTAGCACCACGTTTACGTGAAACGGCAAACTTCAGCTTTCCCCTTCACCTTTTTACGTAAAACAGCGAGAACCTTACAGCTTTAGCTTCACGTGAGATCGTCACTTCGAAATGAGATGGAAGCCGTCTCATGAGTTAGTGTGAGTTCTTGCAGGTGTCTAAGAAGAAGAGTGCGGAATTTGAAGGATTTTCAACATGAAACTTCATCGGCCCTCGGCACTTACAGGAAATAATGTTGGTGTACTTTTTTCCGACAAATAACTTCTACGCGGGGAGATATAGGGAAAAAAGTCTTGTAGACACAGTAAACGCGAAACAGCTTACCTTAATTTTCATATACGCCGGCAAAGTGCGACCGGCAAAGGTAGAAAATGGCGGGAAAATCGTAGTCACCAGGTCACTCTTGCCGGTCACGTTTCTGGCGCTAAATCTAAATCTATTTACTGATTTGCCTAACAGGAAAATTTTCTGCCAGGAAGTGTCTTCGTTTTTGGTTGGATTTGTAGACAACATTTGGTTTATCTTTCCATTGAACAAATTTCGGTATCAATTTCCCAATTTTCTCGGATAGGTAGCAACTGGTAATTTTTTCAACATTGTTAGAATAGTACTCTGCTTAATGAAGACCGACCCTATTTTGAATCAAGCAAAGCGAAGACAAATAAAAACTTGCAAAACTTGTCAAAACTTCCCGGTATGAAATGTATCTTCGTCATGTCTGCGACAAGTGTCCTAGTCTTGTGATTATTCAGCCTCTTTTTTACGCCGAAAAAAAGCTAGGTAATCGTTAAAGGAAACGACGCCTTCAACTCTACGTGCCTTTCGTCCGGAAAGAGATCGTCAAGAAGTTTCAAATTGTTTGAAATGCTGAAGTTGCATGAAGAAGAATGCGTGACTGATAACTATGCTTAAAATTCGCTTTGTCATCCTTAGAGCGCACTGCATGTCGGGTCAAGGCTATCTGGAATATAAACAAATCCGTGCAAGGCCGTTAATAACGTGTCGACAGACGTCAAAGTTTATATGTCCGTTGTTATTAGTAGTGTTCCACTTGGATCTTAAGACGCAAGACAAAATGGTTGTCGCCCGAGGTGTTACTCGTGTTGAAAAGTCCCGACAGATGAGGGAAGGCGGTGGATTTTTAGTTCGAAGACCTGTCGGAGATCGCATCGATCAATGTGACCCGTTCCTAATGTTGGATCATTTAGGACCGGTGGTTTACGGACCAGGTGAGGCTGTAGGAGCTCCTGATCATCCTCATCGTGGATTTGAGACCGTTACTTATCTTATTGACGGTGAGACACGTTCTCTTGTTTTTTCGCTTTTATTTTTGTTTCTTGCTTTTTTCAAAATGAGAAAAAGAAAGAGCGCGGTTGATCGAATTATCGCGTCGAATTAACCTGTCAAATTACGTACAAGGTGTTAAAGCTTTTAATCTCTCCGAGAAATTGACCAAAAATGAGTACACATTGCTTATCTTAGCAGATACGTCGGTAAACTCGAGATCTGTACCTCAATATAAAATTATGTCGAAGAGGAAGAAGACCAATTTGTTTCGATGATTTATTCAGTATTACTTAGCATTTTCGGAAGCTTCACGTATACGCAATAATTAAATATTTTTTTGTTACTTCCAACCAAATATTTGGATATTACTTCAAATGGTCAGAGTAAGCAAAGGGAAACTGTTTATTTTATTTTATGTTTTTGCTTCGTTTTCCTCAAGCAAAAGCATTGAGAGCGAATTTGCCAACCTTGTGTACGTTATGATGACAGCGGGGGGTCCTTAAGTAGGTGGGTTAATGGAGGAGCGTGACGTATTATTGATTGGTTTGGTTTTGTGCAAGTTCTCCCGGTGTCCAACCTCGTAAAAATGTTCCAAATTCTGGTCATACCCAGAAAGTGTGTGTGAAGAAATTTGTAGCACCTCTTGAAGAAGCCATGATGCTGAAATCCAGTTTATTATTTCAAACTATTAATCATTATTTGGAATTATTCAGGTAAGCCTTAAGAGTGTTCAACACCTAATTTCCTCCAACAATAATACTGCTGAACCATGTATCAAGAAGGTAAGAATCAAGGGAATGATCAGTGACCTAGTAAGAAGCTTTGATTGTTAAGCAAAATCTCCTTTGTCAGTACTAAGGGAAATGTATCCCTATCATGAGAAGAATATGGAGAATATGAATATTGATGTTTGGGTGTAAAGGGTTAACCTGAATCATGTCTTTTTGTGTAAAGGAGAGATGAAACACCAGGACAGTGCTGGAAATAATGGTGTTTTAAAAGAAGGCTGGGTTCAGTGGATGACAGCAGGATCTGGTGTTGTCCACAGTGAAATGCCATCTGATGAATTTCTGAAGAGAGGTGGAAGATCAGAGGGCTTTCAACTCTGGGTAAACTTGCCGGCAAAAGAGAAGATGATCAAACCAAGGTACCAGGACACTGATGCTAAGAAAATTCCTGTGGTCAGCAGCCCAGGTATGATTTGATCTTGTAAGGTTTTCCTTGTATCCTCAAGAATCTTCAACACTTTTCTGTTAAAACCATTGAATCATTTAAGGGGGTAATTTTTTATTGTAAAGAATCATTTTTTTTTCAACTTGACTGGTTCCTAAGCTTTAATTGACATTATAACAAAATTTCCTTTTTCTTTTGTTTAGTGACTTGGTCAGTATTCCTGTTTTTCACTTTCAATACAGTTTGAGTGGTTTCAAGTTTTCCATTGTGGTTTCAGTGCCTCCCTTGTTGTCAGTTTTAGGATAATTTGACCCTTCTCTCTTTTTATAGCAAACTACTTGTTCACATGTAAGTACATTTAGCAAACTTATAATGCAAGGACATTTGGTTAGAATGAAGGAGGAGAAAAACTGTGTTGAATGCAGCCAAGAGCAACTTATGACTCAAAGTAGGTCAAATTTTCATCATCTCTTACATCCCTTTTGCCAGATGGGAAAACCAAGGTGAAAGTTATTGCAGGGGAAAGCTTGGGAGCCAAAGCTGTTATAGACACACGAACACCAATAATGTTCTTGGACATTCATGTACAGGCTGGTGGATCATTTGTTCAGGACATTCCTGAGAAGTATAATGGATTTGCTTATGTTTGGAGAGGGGCTGGTTCATTCACTGACGAAAGAGTCTCTGTGGAGATGGGAATGGTAAGAAATCATTGCCAAAATTATCTTAAGCATTTATATCCCTAGCTGAGAGTAAAACAAAGAAGAGAAAATTAACCAATCCACAAATTGATATCTCCACAATTTCATTATGCCACATGATAATTTGCTTTCCTCTTACTCTCATGAGATTTCACCCACCTTTCTTGGGTTTGGTTGAAGTTTATAAGTTTAAAACATTCAAAGAGACTTGAATTTTGTTCATGAAGGAAACTCACTTTTCTTTTCTCTCTCCCTTTTTTTTTTTTTTTTTTTTTTTTTTTTTTAGGTGGGTGTGCTTGGAAAAGGAAACACTTTTCAGATAAATGCAAATCCCAATGAAGACATCCATGTACTCTTGATTGCAGGGGTACCAATAAATGAACCCATTGCCAGGCATGGACCATTTGTTATGAACAAATGGGAGGAGATAGAGCAAGCTTTTAGGGACTACCAATCTGGCAAACTTGGTTCCATTGAGGGATCTGAAGAACGTTATGCCCAGACACAGAATGCAGTCAGTAAACAGAAACAGACAGGAACATGGAAGAAAAAATAAATTTGCATCAAGAGTTCAGCTGGCCTGAAACTCAATACAATAATTTTTCTGAACTGGTTCTTTAAAGAAGTTGTCATAATTTGTTCATCTTGAAAAATCAACTTTTAATTTTTTCAACTTCATCAAGAATTGCAGTCTATTTTAATTTCTGATATAATTTTTTTGACAGATATTTATTTGTTAGCACCTTCAAACGAATACCTCTCACCTCCTTCCCCCATGAATAGGTAAATAATAAAATCTGTTCGACAAGTCAATTAGCAGAACTTATTTAAGGATATATAATTAGTATCACTCAAGAATTTTGGATTTTGTTTCATCTCTCTGTGAAAGACAAACATATTGCATCATAAGTTAAGTTTCTCGAATGTGTTGGTGACTGCACAAGGTCAATTTGATAAAATCAAAGTTGTAACATTTTTCTTTACCTGCTCGTGGTTGTTATAAATTTATTGAGGAATATTTATATTTACATCAGTTTTTTACTAAGAAAAAAAAGATTGTACTTTAAAACACTGTAATCCTTCCATCAAACTTGCCCCTTCTTTGAGCAATGTAATCTTTCTTACCTCACTTCCCTATCGACAGGCCCTCTAATTCTCTGTTTCAAAAGAAAAATTAACCCCGATTGAAATAAGTTGAGAGACTTCAGTTTCTTGATCAGCTTAGTTAGTCAGTGATGTCTCTGATTTTATTTAGCTTAGGGTCTTGTTAAAGAGATTTCTTCCAAGACATTTTTGTAGGTGCGTCGTATAGTTTTGGGCCAGTGTTCTTAAATGCAAATAAAAAGTATGAAAACTCAGATTTACAGTATCTTTGACACAGTTGAGGAATGCCTCCACTGGCCATTGATGATCTTGAGGGAATTGGCACTCAGGAGCTTCATACATTAGTGATAATTTCCTTAATGTCTTTGACCTTAATATTTAATTCAAGGGTGATAATATAGTCACTCATGAAGGTTAAAAGGAAAAGCACCTCACTCTTCTGAGTGATAATTGCCTCAAAAAGGACTGTTCTCAGCTACAGTGACAGAAATTTTGAAAGCTGAGGTAAGACTTAATGGGGTCAAATAAGGATTGAATTCACTTCCTGGTTCTGGCTGTCAAAGGATAAGGGTGCAGACAAAGGCAATACAGAAGATAACTACAAAGTTGATAACATTTTATTTATAAAAAAGATTTATGTGGCTTTAAAGTGCTTTTTACAAGTCTGCAAGGTTTTTTGCTATCAATATTCCGTATTTCAAAGGTTAAATTACTGCTTTCTCCAATCTATCTCCCTCTTGCCTAAGAAAAATAGCAAAGTCACACCAAACAGTTCTGGCGAGTAAAGCTAATGATCAGTCACTAGCCAAGGGGTTTTACCTCCTGGAAACAAGACATGACAAAACAAGAATATTTTCAATAAAGAATGGATCTGTTCATAAACGAACAATGACTGAAGGAGTATAAAAAGTAAAGCAGTGCTACGTTTCAACAGTAATAACTCTCTTTAATTTGCAGATTTGGCAGCATATCCTTTTTTCTGCTCTAACCCTCTACGCCCTAAAATCACTATGCATATTCTACATAGTGCTTCCCCTACATTGTCTATGGTACTAAGTAGGATAGTTTATTTAATGATCGTTTTTCATTCTCTCAACCTTGTGTTTGAATCAATGGTGATACAGTAATGAGAAATTGGATGCTAGTCAGCTGCAAGATCAAAAGGTTATTACTACTGGAACTTCACTGCAAATTTTTTTTCTGGGGGAGGGGGAAGGGACAACTAGACACTTAAGACTCCCAATTATCAGAAACATTGGAAAACCAAATTGGGAAATAAGAGGACTTGTTGCACCAAAAAGGAAATAAATCATACAATAAGACAATAATGTAACCTTGAATCATAACGTAACAATTACAATTTACTATATCAATAAACAAAAATAATAAACTCTTAAATTTGACTTGCAGTTCAAGCTTCTGCAAGCAGTCATCAAGCAGCCTTCACCTTTTAAGTGTTGGCCTACTGCATGTGAACCAACTTTCTTAACTAATTTATTGCAAACCCTCTGCTGTGTCCATCTCTAGTTTGTATCCCTTGGCCCTTGGAAATACTTTCTCAGACATTAATTCTTAGCTCTATCTCAAAAGTTTTCTTTCCTCTAAAACAACAAGATGGTTTGACTGTAAGGGGACTGCTTGGCAAAGGCAATTGCGGGGTAAAACAAACCAGTTGACTATTTGACAAGACAAGACAACTGAACAGGTTCCAGTCACAATTCTATTTGCAAGACATGGAGAATTTTGGTGAGAATCTCTGTCCTGGCTAAAGAACAAAACAAGCTGCCCAGGTTCAAACTGGCTCAAATTCGTTTGTATAACAGTGGAAAGGAAATTACCAAAAGTACCATTCCGACAAATTATTATGAAGTTACAGTAATATCCAGGAGGCAGTCCATCAGAGCAACCTGTGATAATGAACTTTTGCCTACTGTGGGTCAAACCTAACCCTTTCACTCCCAACATCAAGGTATCAACTTTCTTCACGGCCTGCAATACATATCCTGTGATTTAAGTTGTGAGAATTTGACATCAGATCAAGTGATCACCTTTTGATATTTTTTGTCTTCTCATCACCTCCCTGCTTTGAATTGTATTGATATTGCAAGAAGAAATTCCTTTATACCTACTCCTGAGAGTGAAAGAGTTAAAAGGCCATTGATTGCAAACAGTAGCTCAACTGCATTCAAATTGTAATATTTCTTAACAGCATTTTATCCAAAATTTCTCAATAATAGTGACATTAAAAAAAAACTATGATTTTCCCATCAAATATTACACATCTGTAACTTTTCCTTAACCTTTTTGTAACAAATTATCATTGACAAAAGTATGGTATATTAGTACATGCTTGGGTTGTATTCTGCTCATATAAAAAGTTGATACAAAATCCATGAAATGAGGCTGTATGAAACTATTTCACATACCTCACACTTGTACAAAATTAATTTTAGGCCTTTGAAGATGGCACAAGAACCCACAATCTATCAATGATTGTTTTGTGCAAATTTTTCCAGTTATTGATTCTTACAGTATTCAAAAGTATGAAACCAGTACAAAACAATTCACTCATCTTCCCCATCTGACCATTCAGAACCTGTCTCACTTTCATCCTCGCTTGAGGAGTACTCCACTGCGATTCGACGAGCCAAGATTGTTGCCACATCCATGATGCCATTTGTGTCACTGTGCTGCTCTTTCTTTGCTTCCTGAACTTGAACTTTCCTAAGCTCCATACCTCTTCTGATAGCAGAGAGTAAGTCACTGCGACCATCAACTTGCTCCTTAGGGGGAAGGGGTGTGTCTCCACTTTGAACACTTATACTTGAATCTGAGGTTGTCAGTGAGTTTGAAGATGGTGAGACTGTTGGCTGTGACCCAACAGAAGACTGGGATGCAGCTTGCTTTAGAGATGGCATTCCTCCTGCGCCTGGCAAGGGAGGTGGCGGAGGAGGGGGAGGAGCAGCAGGAACACCTGGAGGTGGTGGTGGTGGTGGAATAGCACTTGCAGCAGGTACTGAATTAAGAGCTGGAGGAGGAGGGGGCCCACCCCCAATTGCTGGGACTGGTGGGGGAGGAGGTGCAACATTTGGACGGTTTATATTATTGCCAGTATACCGTCTAGACTGTCTCCGCTGAGCTGGAGAACCTGATTTTCCTGCTCCAACATCAGGACTGATAACATGATTGGGTGGTTCACCATCAGGGATGCCACCATTAGGCTGTTTAGAATACTCAGTGTTACGTCTTTCAGGCTTATGATTCTCTTCGATATTAGTAGTAGATGATGTTGGGGTGATGCCAGCATTTTTAAATTCCTCACCTTGTGCACAATAGACTCTCTTCTTCACAGCCTTGACAGGTCTTTTCTCGCTGGTTCCAGCCCTCACCCGGCCAGCCCGCTAAAACAAAACAGATTCTTACTTAATAATGCCTGGAGGCCAAGGTCATGCTAAGATTATTAACGCTTATTCATGCTTTTATCACTAGTCGTTTAGACTATTGTAATGGATTTTTGTATGGCCTTCCTAAGTCGCAAATAGCCAAATTGCAACGTGTACAGAATGCTGCAGCTAGACTTGTACTGAGTTTAAGTATTCGCATATTTCTCCTGTGCTTTGTCAACTTCACTGGTTACCATTACAACATCGTGTTCATTTTAAGATCATAATTTTAACATTTAAAGCTATTCATGGATGGGCGCCTAGGTATATCATTGAACTAATTAACATCAAGCCTAGGTCTGTATATAATCTTAGATAAAATCAAAGTTCATTACTTGACCCTCCTAAGGGGAAAATGCTTGCCACGTTGGGGACAGATCATTCTCTGCTGCTGCCCAGTACTTATGGAATGCTCTGCCAGCTGAATTACATGATATTCAATCATTTTCCATTTTTAAATGTAAGCTGAAAACTTATTTATTTCGTGCAGCTTTCTCAAAGTACCCTGTCTGACAAATACTTTTATTAGTATTACTAATTAAGTTCCTTATTAAGATCCTTATTCCTAATTAAGATCCTTATTATGGATATTCCATATTATTCTTCTTTTTAACATACATTGTTAATATTAATGTACATGTAATTAGTTTTATAAATTTGAATTTATTGTAGTATTCTAAGTTGTTAAGCGCTGTTGATCATTGAATGAAAAAAGCGCTCTAGAAGTTATTATTAAATTATTATTAAATTAAAACACCAGTAAGTCAGAGCTTACACATTTATTAGCATCAGTTTCTGTGTCCCAGGTTACAGGTAAAGTAAGGTCACCCCAACACAGGAAATTCATTAAGTTTCACTTTTAAAGATTCCCTATTTTAAAGATTTCCCCTTTTAAAGATTCCCTTTTTTAAAAATCCCCACTTTTAAAGATTCTCCATTCTAAAGATTCCCCATTCCCCATTTACCCATTTCCCCATTTACCCATTTCCCCATTTCCCCATTTCCCCATTTCCCCATTTCCCCATTTCCCATTCCCTGTTTGAAGATAGACACTGTGTCCCTGCTCAAAACCTTGTTAATAAAGTGCAAATTGGTTGTTCTTTTGACATATTTTCTTATTCATCATAGAACAAGTTTCATGGCCCAGGTTTTTCTTACTTTGGAATGGATATTTGTGTGTAGGTGTCACACAATCCTATTTAAAATACATGCAACCTACGAATATCATACGTTGTTATTGTTTTCAATATTTACACTTCATTCCATGAAATGATTGCAATTTATCCACATTTTTTATTTTTGCTAATATTATCTGCAATAATTAAGTCTCGTCAACAGGATAAAAAGGATCAAATTATCATTGAATGCTTAGATGAAAGTTTCAGAGGTAACATAATAATAATAATAATAATAATAATAATAATTTTATCAATTTCTATGGCGTATTTACCATGTAATGATCGAATGCGCTTTACAACACTGTGTGGGGCACTTTTTCAGACTGCCAGTGGCAGTTTACAATCAACAGAGGAGAAATTTTACAGGCGCCCCCTCTCCCCAATTCCCAGTAAACAGGCCAGACCACCTCACAGTAATATTGTGATGTGGGTTCTTTAACATCCCCTGCCTAACCAAATTAACTAATCGACAGATGTAAGAGACGGGACCTCCGGCTTTGCGTCTTATCTGAGAAGACGAAGCAATGTGAGTGAAGCGTCTTGCTTAAGGACACAATGTCAAGCCCCAGCCAGGACTTGAACCCAGGTCGTCTGACCCAGAATCCAGCACATTGACCACTGGACTACTCACGACTGTTTGTGTTTGTTTACATTTTTATCAGTTGGTTGATTATTCTGTGATTCAAGAAAACTGCTGGCGCTTTTACACTCAAAGTTCATGTGTTCTAAAATGAAGTTTTGTAGAGGTAAATATAAATTTAACTAAAGCATGCTTTATTCAATGTCATCAACACTAACACGTGGCTTGGCTAAAGCTCAAGTCTTGCCCCATATGAAAATATGGAGAGATAATAGCAAGTGTCAAATACTTTGTCTGTCACTATTATTTCACATGCAATAAGTAAATAGTTTTCTTGATACCTCTACAAGTTTTTTGAGTGTCTTGATCTTTGATTCTCAATCCTCTATACTCAATACTTGACACTTTAGTCTTGAATTTCTACCCCAATCTGTCTATTGAAAAGGTTACTAAGTTTAAAAGCAGTGGACAAAGTAGAAAAACCTACCCTTTTTTTCTTCTTTTTTTCTACTTCTTTTCTCATCTCTTCACACCACAGCTCAAAGAAGTATGTTGGATCAGTGTAAAACTTGAGAGCATCCTTTTTGTCGTCTCTGTAAGGATTCATATCTTGAAGTTTTGGAGGCTTGTCACAACCACTGTACCTCTCCTTCATTGCTGAAGGAAGAGTGCTGCTCGCCAGAACCTGTTGTTCTGTCACAATTGTACTCCTGAAAGCTTTGCGCAGGTTTATATCTTGTAAAGAAACTGAAATTGACAAAGAAATTAGAACAACTCAGGGAATTGCATAATCAACAGTACTAGTCTGACCTTTCAGGAAAGGGTCATTCATTTTGAAGATATAAGGCATAACTTTCCCTACAGTTCTAAAATAATCTTGATTTCAACATTATTTTCTGAGGGATTTGTGTTCAAAATCATTTCCTCATTGCATTCCATAAACTCGCACTAAATCCTATGGATTTCCAGCTTTCCCATAACTCATGTAAACCCGACATGATAAAAATTATTGGATGTTCAGGAAAATATTGTCTTATGACTTTACAATGCTTTAGGGTAACTTCTTGATAAAACCTAACATTGTTTTATAATTGTATAATTAACCAAAAGAAACAAAAGTTTTTCTAAACTATAACCCATCCAAACTCCTTTTTTGCGATCATTGTTTTCAAGACTTTAAGTACAGACTGAAGCAATTAAATGTACTTGTCAATCATACAACAACCGAGCAAACTGTGGGAAAGCTGTAACGTTCATTAGGAAAACAACTGCACTTTTAAAAACAATTAAACCATTTGACATATTTTGTGTTTGTGTCGAAAGGCAATCACTGTGACGAGGAATGACCGTAACGAGCTAGATGATCAGAAAACACGATTTTAAGCTTATGATTAAAAGATAAAGTTTTTCAAAGAAAATTTTCGTCAAGAAGAAAAATTTCACGATTCAAATCAGGGTGAACTTTCAATTTAGAATTTCGGTTTGTCCAACCAATACGAGAATGAGAATAGTGAACCTTAATTATTCATTGAATCAAGATAAAACTATCAAGTTTTATTCAGTGTAAGCTGGTAAAAAAGGTGATTCAAATAGTGTGAAATATGTATTCTCTAACAAGTAAGATAACGTAAGTTGCCGTCGTCCATCAAGAAAAGAATTCAACAAATCTGGCCGAGGAATTCAAAGTAGGTAATATGTTATTTTAGCACCCATAACCTTGATCACTTACTTTCTTCCACATTGGAGTCCAGTTGTGTCACCTTTATGGACAAATTCTGCATTCTTTCGTGAAGGGAGTTCGTTCTTTGGAAGATATTATTCATTTCTGCAAATAACTCTCCGAAAAGGTCCTCTGCATGTTTCGAAATGCTACTTAGTTGTCGCATGATTCCACATAACGTGTTTACAGACACCGCTTCCAATTCACTCTTTAACCCATCTTCTAACTTTCCACGACTTAATTCGATCGGATCTACCGATCGTTTTATCAACGGCATGGTTGATTACAAAATCAACCAACACCGTCCGATAGACTGCAAGATCCCAGTCTTTTTTCAAACTCCACTGGACGGTGACAATGCCCTAGCAGAAATTGAAATACTACGAAACAACTTCCACCCTCGCACAAACACCCAACATGGCGACTTCCTCCTGCCCAGGGTTCTTAGCGAGCCATGTGAAGATGTCGGCTAATCTTCGGAAAGCGATAAATTTTCCTATTTTGTACGAATGAGTTACGACAATTTTTAAAGAAGAAAAATCACCATTTTTTCTCTGGCTCAGTGATTCGGAGGGTTGCAAGACAAAGATTTGACCTGAAAAAAGAATGAAGCCCGAGACCAGATAACTATAACGATAGTGTGAGGATGAAAACAAGAGTAGTGTTAAATATATATACCTTATTAACCAAGCGCGAGGGCCGTACTGGGAGAATATCGGCCCGAGGTCTTGACAGTACGGACCGAGCGCAGCGAGGTCCGTACAAAAAAGACCGAGGGCCGATATTCTTCCAGTACGGTCCCGAGCAAGCTTAGTTAATAAGAGATTTATTATACGACTGAAGTTCAAAGGGACACAAGAGCGGTGTCATTCGGGACCATTCGGGACTGTGCCCGGTCCAATACTTGGAGAATATTGACCGGCAATAGAGCATTTTGATTGGTTGATGTTAGCTAACCGGGAGGCAACCGCCTCCCGGTTAGCTCAATGGATAGAGCGCTGGACTGTTGTGCGGGAGGTCGAGGGTTCGAGCCCCGGCCGGACCAACACTCAGGGTCTTAAAATAATTGAGAAGAATTTGCTGCCTTTCTATAACCTCAAGAAATGGTTAGATATTCTAGTCTTCTCGGATAGGGACGAATAAATGGAGGTCCCGTCTCCTGCAGGGTTGGGGTAGGAGACGTTAATTTCCCACACACGAGATTACTGTGTGATGGATGTCCTCCCCTGGGGTGGGATGGGTGGGATATACAGGGCCGTTCTGAAAACCACTTCTGTGAGAACGCACCCTGTCTAAAGATTATTATCTATCTATCTATCTAGTTATTGGCCCTCTGACTGCCCGAGTCGTGTAATAAAGGCCTGTATAGCATTCGATCATATCTTTTATTGCATGTTAGACTACGCAATATAAGAAATAAACATTATAGCGTACGTAAAATCTTCAAGATTATGTATGGTGATCTATGGCCATGACAAACTGAAGGAGTGCCAACAATTTTCGAAAGGTGATGGTCTTTTTTTTTTTCACTTTAAGGTTGGGGAGTGCAGCTTATACTATTTTACGAAACGAAACGAAACGAAACCAGGCGAGACCGAACGAAACAAAAGGGATAATGCCAATATATTTTTTAATAAGGTAATGATAACTTTCACAAGGGTTTAGGAGTAATCGTTAATTAATAATAAGGATTTTGATTCGTTTCGCAAAGTGGTAATTAAGTACGTTTATACTGATTAGTAAACAATTAGTTGAGTTAGTGAACGCACGTGTTTGGATATCCTCTTATTTCGCTTTTCAATATATATACCCTGTTACGTTTCTAAGTACACAGAATCAGTTAGAGAATTTTGATCTATTTTCAGTTGACCTTTTGCTTTACATGGACCGTAAGAGAGCGTTTATTAAGTATATCCGACACAATCACAAATACCAACCAAAGACCTGTTGTCTGACACGAGAACGGCAACAGCGTTATAGCCCGTCCAGTGAAAATAGTCCATTTCGCAAAATAGTATTTGTTTTAATTTTACGACTTTGCAAAATTAATCTTATATGGTAAGTGAAAAGTGGTGATCAACATCTTTAATGCAATGTTTGAACGTATTTTTGTGAAACGAAAAGGAAGACATCGTTATTGAAGGGTGAAATAGTTAATTTCGCAAAATAGTACCTCTCGTGATTGCGAAATTGTTTCAATAAGGTTTAAGAAATAAGAGTAGGCCAAAATCCTGGGTAATATACTTATTTGTAATATTGAAATGCATTTTTGTGATATGAAAGGTTCCGCACCGAAGGGTTGAAAATGGTCGATTTCGCAAAATTAAACTCCTCTTAAATTACTACTTTGCAAAATAACTAAAAATCCTTAATATTAAGTAACGATTATTCCAAAATCCTTGTGAAAGTTCTCTTTACCTTGTGAGAAAATATATCGGGATTATCCCTGTGATTTCGTTCGATCTTGTATGGCTTCAACTTCGTTCCCAGGGTCTCTCATCTTCCCGCTCCTGGGAATGAAGTTGGTACAGATTTCGTTCCGTTTCGCGAAAATAGTATAAGCCGGGAGGGAGGGGTAGGTGCTGGGTTACTAGAACTACTTTAGACCCTTTGATCACCAGGAGTCACTAGTATCTAATTTCTCCTTATGATATCTATAAATATAAATAATATTAATATGATATCATATAAATATAAAAGAGAATGAAAGAAATGATCACCAATCAAAGAAGCTCTAAATTGTTAAAAAAAATTCTCCTCGTGGTGAATATGCATACTGATGTGATGGTGTAAAGGGTTAACCAAAGAGGAATGAATAGGGAAGGGGTCATAATGAAAAGTAAGCAGAAAAAAAAATTGGTTAAAACTTTACTAAGGGAGGTGTTGATTACATTTCTTTAGGGCAACAATTTCTTTGCTTTGTTCACTCAAGAATGAATTAATGACAACACAACTGAGTAAGTCAAGTTTTGTCCATTATTGGCTGATGGTTTATTGTTGTAAAAATATCAGTAATCTTTCCAAAAAAATTAATTAGAATTTGCAATTTATCATTTACATATTTCAGTAAAGGTTGTAATGTTTTGGGTGCTAAAAAGTGTCCAAAATAAATTAATTATTACAAATAGTTTCCCTATAAATTTTTTTTAAAATTATCAAATGTAACAAACTGCTAAGATGGACTTCAGCTCTGCTTTTTGTCAACTTTTACCTCCCTTTCACTCCCAAGATCTTAATAATTGGTCTCCTTGATGTCTGTCATATTTTTCTTTTATAATTTTTTTTTCTTATGACTTAATGTAATATGGAGCACATATTTCCCCCTGTGTTGATAGCTCTCTTTATTCCTATTTCCCATCTTCTTTACAATTTACAGATACTGTTAGGAAAAATTACCAGTAGATATTGTTCATCATTGGAGTGAAATGGTTAACCCAACACTGTGTAAGAATAATAAATTTGCTTTGTGCAATTAAATAGAAAAAAAATCTCAAATAAAAGTGAAAATAAAAAATTATTGAAAAAATTAAATAAATAATTAAATCAATTTCCATCTAACATGAACTGATTCCACATAAATATTGTATTCAGTGACTGCAGTAATAATATGCAGCTTTAAAAAAAATCAAAGCAATTAGCAAAAGAGTTGGTTAATCCCATTTTATTATTATTATCATTATCATTATTATTATTATTATTTATTACTATTATTATTATTATTATTATTATTTTTTAATCCCATTTTATCCTATACAATTAAATACTCTTTTGTTTATCAATTTCATTTCTGCTGGAAGTAGTGTCCATTTACTCCTTGGGCCAGCTGTAGGTGTGTGGAATGTATGACAAGTAGTCTGGACTGTAAAGGTTGTCTTTTACTAACTGTTCCTTGTCTGCAGGTTCAGGATGGATTGTTGCCATACCACTGGAATATGCAAGTTGCACCACTTCGACAGCCACTTTGGTGGATACCTCTCGAATTTCTTTCAGTGGAGGGAATAGGCAACCTTTCTCCAGCTGAGATGCTTCCACTTGATTGGCTAAGGACTGAGTTGAGAGATGAAAGGTTTGTTATGATATAATTATTTTGACTGACTCAAAAACAGGACAATTTTGGGACCAGAATTTACAGACATATTAATTTAAAATAAACAAATTTTAATTTCATTTTCAAATTAATTTTAATTGCAAAGGCACATCTAGAAGATGTGGCTCTTGTGCCACACTCCCCCCCCCCCACCACCTCAAATTTGACAACGGCAGAGTTTTGTAGAGAAGGAGGAGAGGGGAGTCAGTGTCACTATAGTTATTATATAATGTAGCAAAAGCTTATGACCAAGAATAGGTTATAAGCTTCTGTCTAAGTTGTTTGTATAGTTTACCATCAATATATGACTCACTGTTTAGTACATTGTTTTTGTTGTGCTATAAAATAGGTTCTATTGTTACTGATTACCTTCATTTGTTTTACATTATTGAAAGAAAGAATTGCATATAAATTGCCTGTGACCAATAAAAGTCACCTTCGACCTATAACAGGTGACCTGTCACCTATGACCCATCACCTGTGGCCTTTGTCCCCCACAAACTGGGACTTGCCTCTAAGACCTCCCACCAAGGGTGTCATCTGAATGGAACTTAAGCAGTGAATAACTTTTCATACAGGCAAATTTGGTTTATATCATTCTTACAGCAAGGACCACTCTCAAATTATAATAAGTGTACAAAACAATGTGTTCAGGTTAGTCACCTCTGCAGCAAGAAGGAACATGTCATCAGTCACATGTTGAGCTTTACAGGCAATCACAGCCAAGGCCACACCAGGAAATATATAGGCATTGTTTCCTTGGCCAGGTATAAAATGACGACCATCTGGAAGAGTAACAGGAGCAAATGGGCTACCACTGGCAAACACAGCTTTGCCCTGGAAAAAAATATTAAATAACTAAATTTTAAAATAGACAGTAGGGATATTTAATCAGTTAAATTTTCTCCTCTTAATATTCCAGGTTTCTCTTTGGGGCCTCTCAAGAACCCCCTCCCTGGTTGAAAAAAAATCCCATCAACTTCCCCCCCTTCCTTTACCATCTGATGGGAAAAGGAAAATTTTTTTACATCTTCAATCACAAAATATATACTGAATATACTCAAATTTACATAAGAATATATTGATTCAAATCCCAGATTCAATAGCCCTGACTGCCAAAACTTCTAACAATTGTGCAAGGTCTTCTGGGTTTTTTAGGCAGATAGTTACAGGAATAACAGGCAACACTTAAAACAAGTATCAACCACAGTATGCCCTACCCGCTCAGTCAATGAACATGATCAAGGAAGCAGGCCAGTGGAAAAACTACTGAAACACTTTACCCCACATGTTTTGGGATCATCTGAACTGATCAATAAGTTACCTCCCCTTACTGAGGGTCTGACACAGCTTGTCACATCAAACATAATTTGATCTTACATTGGTCCAAGTATAAGCTTGTTCTGCTGTACACTCTGCTTTGGAGGTTGGATTGCTCAGAGCAAATATGATGGGCCGGTCATTAAAGGAAGCCATAGCCTTGACAATTTCTTCAGTGAATGCTCCAGCCACTGCTGCAACACCTGCAACAAGACAAGACAGACACACAAAAACATAAAATGTTACATTTAGTACCTTAAATATCAACTAATGAACTGCCTCTTAAATAAGGTCATTCTTAAGTCAACAGAATTTCAGTCAAATTTCATTCTTTCTTTAAAGAATAGACCAAACTGAATTAAACAGAAAAAGGTGCTTGCAAATTGTAATTACAGCAACCTTGTTTGTAATGCAAATTCAGATTGAATCAATTAATTTTGAAATCCTAATCAACAGATCAATAAGGGAATTAAGGTCAAAAATGAAAAACAAAATTTCACCACTGTTGACCTCAAATCCCCTACAACAAACTTGCCCGGGTAATTGGTTTCAGAGAGGACAATTTTAACTCATATTTAGTTCTTATTAATCGAGCGGGAAATCTGTATGGGAGAATCTTGACCTCGGTCGCCAGTACAGACCAAACACAGTGAGGTCTGTACCAGCGACTGAGGTCAAGATTCTCCCATACGGACCAACCTAGCTCGGTTAATAAGATGTTTATTATATGGCTGTGTCTTATATGCCAATTTTTATATTTTTTGTACCTTTTGCTCTAGACCGGTCTAGATGCTGGTCTAGATGGGAAAATCTAGACCGCTTTCAATATTGATTTCAGCCAATCAAATTCGTGAATTCAGTAGTTCCCAGTCCCTGTGAGACACAGCCATATAATAATGAGAAATATAATGTCAATATTGCAGGGGTTTCAATTAAAATCCGGTTACTGGTGGTCTACTGCATGGCTGTTTGCATGCCCTCTTACCACCATCCGTTTAGCGTTTGAGCGGGCTCTCTCATCTGGGTTTCACCTCACAGCACCTTACCACTCACAGCCGCTTATCAACCATCGGCACTTAATTCTGGTAAAAGTTATTGAAAAATTAACCCTTGATATCACAATCAAACTGTATACTAATAGATGACCTCACCAATTATGGCAGTTGGTTTGATGGTTTTGACAACTTCTGCAAGGGTGCTGATGTGATTTGTTTCATGGGCATACTTTAATTTTTCTTCATTTAATCCTCCAACTGCACGATCCTGAAAAACAAAGTTTCACAACTAATGACAAAACAACAAAACATGGAATTTGTTGAATTTCAACAATTATACATTTACCCCAGTTAAAGCACATGATCACACTACCAACAAGTGGTATACATAAGTTCCAAAAATATGATAACCATTACAGCATTACTATTTATACAACTAAAATAAAAAGTTTAGGATTCAGAGTATTCTCTGTTTTAAAAGTTAGTGACCTAATACACATGTACATTTGATGCACAAAAAACCAACTGATGCAATCTCAAGACTCCACTTATTATTTCTTTCAATTTCTAATCAAAAACATTTTTTTGCAAGACTCATGGTGCAAACGTATCTGCAAGTACAGCTTACATGATGGAGTTTGTCAGAGACAGTCCATAATAATGAAAAATCCTGAGGGTTACCTACAAGAGACTAACAACCCCTCCCATTTTGGTTCTGCCTTTTGTTGAGGATAATTTGACAGTGGAATAATTTTACTAAAAACTTCTTGTTCATAAATCTCACAGCAAGATGTCTGCTTACAATCATGAAATAAACATGCATGATCACTAACCTTAACAACCAGTCCTCTTGAATCTACCAGCCATATTCTCTTTTTTGCCTCCTCTTTAGATAATCCTGCCCTTAACATGGCTAGGACCAGCAAGTCAGCAATACCAATGGCAGCCTGTCAAAATATGACAAGCCAGCTCTTACAGTTCCACTCAAAAATGAACCAATGATGATAATGAATTGGAAAGTCAAGGTGCACACTCATAGAGGCAGCCACATTTGTTCTCAAAAGAGGAAACGATTGAGACTGGTGTGAGAAAGAACACTTTTGTCTTTCAAATAGGTAGGAGGGTGAAAAACACTTGTTTGATTATAAATCCTACCAACATATAGGAAATGACATAATTTGGATATATCAACAAAGTTGAAGTGGTAAATCGGCCACCGTTACGATTCCAAAAGCTGACGTTTCGAGCGTTAGCCCTTCGTCGGAGCCAATTTACTGCAACTTTGTAATTGATATATCCAAATTATTTCGTTACTCCCACCAACGCAGCCCCAAACAGTTTCTTTCGAAACTATCAGCCTTTATAGGAAATGACAACCTGTTCTGTGTCACTTCTTCAGTCCTTCCAAGGAGTGGTCAGCCAATCTGAGTCGAATATTATAATTATAAACACTTCTCTTTAACCTTTAAACCCCAAAAGAGACTAGCATCTACATCATCCCTGAATCAAAAATTAAGGTCATAATAATATACTTTTAGGTAATGATCACCAACCAAAGAAGCTCTTGATTGTGAAACAAATTCTCCGTGTCAACACCTTTGGAAATTCCTATAGAAACAGTATGGAGAATACGCACTCTGATGTTAAGGAATAAAGGGTTAACCCACCTCTCCTGCACCTTGAAAAAGAAACTTATGATCTGCAAGTTTGTTCTTGGTAATTCCCAATGCAGCAAGAATTCCAGCAACTGTGACAGATGCTGTTCCTGTAAACAAAAAGGCAGTGTGAATCAGTGTGCCAGTTTTAAACCTACTGATAGCTATGGATTTGACTGAACTACCTTGTGTGCCTGATACCAATGCTTAGTTGGTAAAAAGAATTATTGTCATACAGCAACATGTACATCCCGCTTATAATTGTAGGCTGGTGGAAAATTGAACTCAATAAAACAATTCCAATGAATGCAGTTTAATACCTTGTATATCATCATTGAAAGTGCATATCTTATTTCTGTACTTTTCCAAGAATCTGAAGGCATTGTGGTTTCCAAAATCTTCAAACTGGATTAAAACTGTCTCACCAAATCTATAGGGTACAAAAAAAAAGCACTACACCATGACCTCAAAAGAAATCTAAGGGATAATCTTACCCTTTTATGTTTACAAATACATGAAACTATAACCCAAGATTTTGGCCAAATCTGGTTGGCATAAATTAGAAAGTGGCCTAAGACAAGCAGACTTTTTTTGTTGAGTAATCTGATGCAACATTCTTTTCTAATGGTTAAGGCTAACAGAGATCTCATGTCCACTGAACAAATTTGAATTGGAGGGGATAAAGACCTATCTCCCTACAGTAAAAAAAAAAAACACATAACTGAATACTCAACAATTTTGGTTCCTGTTTACGTACCAGTATCCATCAGATTAGATTAAGCTGTGAATTTATTGTCTTATCATTGCATGGTCTTTAAAAAAATACAAACAAGTAAGATCAGAAATAAAATGGCAAGTTGAAACACTGGTTCTTTGTTACTATTATGATAGTAACCATGAAGATAAAACTGGATGAACTTACCGTGCAGTTGCAGCTCCAATGAATTCATCAATTAAATCATCATACCGTTGACCAGTCACACGTTTCTGGGGCACTCCAATATAAAGAGGATCATCCAGCAAAGCCTGCAAAATATGTCAAAGCTGTAAGTTTGAGAACAGAAAATTAAATTTTTTAGGCAGAGAGGAACTTAATTCATAAGCGTTGCATTGCTTTATCACATCATATCAAATTTTGTTTAAATAAAAGGAAACTATACTATAACAATACTCTCACAGGGTTGTGGACAAACACAGAGAAGGCAGAATCTGCCAGGAATGATCAAAGACAGTCATCAAAGGATGGAGAGGATAAACACAGATTATGAATAAACAAATGCAATGTATTGAAGACTAAATATTTTAGGAGGTATAAACCTTAGGTGACATACCTGATTATTAGTTCCAACGTCAATCATAACAGGAAGACACACTCCTGGGTCGATGCCACCACAAACTGTGTACAATGCTAGCTTACCAACAGGTATCCCCATTCCACAGCAACCTAGGTCACCCAGACCAAGTATGCGTTCCCCATCTGTCACCACTATGGCCTAAATGTTATTTGAGACAAATTTGAGAAAATACACCTTACTCTACTGAGCTATTAATAAATAAAAACTAGCTATGATTTTTTGAGTCATTGTTGATTCCCATTTGTTTGACAAAAATATTTTCTTTTCATTGTAACAATTGAATCTAATTCTCATGTTTGCCATACCTTCACATTTTCAACTGGCCAGTTTGCTAATAGTTTGTCAACATGGCCTTGGTCATTAATGGAAACAAACAGCCCTCTTGGTCTTCGAAATATCAAGCCATACTTCTGGCAAGCAAGCCCAACTGTTGGGGTATAAACAATTGGCATCAGTTCCTCTGTGTGTTCCATCAAGATTTTGAAGAATAAGGACTCATTTCTTTCTAGAAGTGCCATCAATTGAATATATCTTTCAAGATCATTAGCCTTTCTATGAAGCTCTCCATATATTCTTTGGACCTGAATTTCTTGGGTTGATGTGCATGGAGGAAGAAGACCATGAATTCCAAGGATTTGACGTTCTTGCAAGCTGAAAGCAGTTCCCTGTAATCAAAAGGCAAACCCTCAACTAAACCAATCAAAGGCACTTGACAATCCTACACTGGAATAACAGAACTACAACAGGCATCTGGTATCCCATCAAAGCCTGAATTTTCCAAGCTTCTCTTTTGCAAGTGCTTTAAAACCCTTTAACTCCCAAGAGTGGCCAAGACAGAATTTCTCCTTACAACATCAATACAAATATCAAGCAGACAAGTGTTGAGAATAAAGAAATCTACCAACAAGGGTATTTTTAGTTGATCCAATACCAAATTCTCCAAACTTACATGATAAGAATTGTATGGCAGACAGTAAGGAGAATTCCTAAGAAGATCTTGAGAGTGAAAGGGTTTTCATTGTAGCTAACTTGCCAAGACTACCTCTTTACTTAGTACATTTATTCATACAGACAGATCCATGAACCTCAAACTAGGTGAAATATTCCCCAAAATTTATTGTGGGGGAGGGGGTAGGGTTGGGCATAATTGGCCAAGTCTTTGAGAATCAAGAAATGTACAATCCTTTGATAATGAGACAAATTTGGAACCATGCTCCAAATATCTAGAGGACTCAAAGAGCTCAGATTGGCTTCTCTATTGATCTCTATGACAAACAGATTCAGTGATACTTGTTCATGAATATTTAAGAGAAGCTTCAAACTTTACCACGGTTTGATCTCAGAAGGTACATAATAATGACAGAAAAAGTAATTATGATTCATTTTTAATTTACAAAATTGAAAAAACCTTGAGATAAAAGAAAATTTGAGATATGAAAGCAAATTTATTCACCATGGACCAAACTATCTTGTATGCAAATTCCTCCTGAATACTATTTGAAACCATGAGTCACCAAATTCCCTAACCCCACAGTAAATAATGCAAAGTCACATGATAAATCATATCTAAAAAAAAAAATTGACTCACCAACTACACTCTTTATTCTTTGAAAATTATCTTGGAACATTGTAGATATACAATTTTGTCTTTACACGGTTTAATAAGAAAGTAGGGCATTGTAGGGGTATGTGAAAAATTTGCATAACAACAGCTTCAAAGGTCACCAAATAAATGTACAGTACAAAGCCAGAAAAAACAACGACTTTTCCTCCGTGTAAACTTATTGAAAAAAAAATATGACGTATAATGGATATTTCGTATGGCGTTTAAAACTGGAAAAGCTTCAAACTGAAAGATAATTCAGCGTAAGTCACATGCACTGTATCGTGTACATATCCTTATCGATATAGCCTCTGGTCGCGATCGCACACTTCTGCTCGGCATTGAACTGAGGTACATTTACTATATTGAGTCACCTTGTTTAGCCTTGCATCTCTCATGATATCTGTTCCTCTGATGGTGGGAATCTTGTTGACATGCCTTACCGCCGACATGGTTATTTCAGAGGTTTGAAGCACGGATAAAGCTTGCTTGTGTAGTTGACTAGCTCCGACCAAAGCGGACTCCTGTCTGTTGGTAAAAGCAGTCACGCCGAAAATTAGTGTAGTTAGATTGCATGACAAGACAAATATTGTACTGTGATTGACAAATAAATAAATAAATCACTTCATGACGAAAAGAACATTACGTATTAAGGAATAAAAAACAATGATTACAAAGGGGAATTAAAAACAAAAACCCTCCCGAAATAATACGATTGCGTTTATGTTATGATATAAAAACAATTGTTTTTTATAAAAAAAAAAAATCAAAAATACATTCAGCACACTAACTTTCCTATCGACATTTTCCGTAAAAGTGATCTACGAGCAAGACAAAAACATGGACTTTGCATAGCTTTAGAAATAAAAGAAAGGACTGCAAACAGTCTTCAATATAACGGACTTTTTCGCTGACATCATCCTGCAGAATGAAATATCGCACGTAAACAAACTGGAAAACGAAAGCATTAAGCATGATTTTTTTCGGCTGGGGGGGGGGGAGGTGGTAGCTACTAGCCACAAAAAATCTTTCCTGATCCAGAGAGCCTCGCGATCTCTCTCAGCTAGGCACTAAAATTCCTCACCTCCATCAGAATGCAGAGAAATAAATATAGTCGCAAAAAGACTTCTCGGAGTAATTCGAGACAGTTGCATAATCCCGATGAAATGCCTATGACTAATTTCTCGGTGGTTCAGCAAAATATTGTGCCCAAGTAAAATATATATAAATGTTATATAGTCAGTACATTTTTAAGTTCTACGTAAAGTTTTGCAACATACCCTGATTTTCCTTCTTCTTGTCCTTTACCCATGATAACAACTGAGAAATCTTACAAATATGACTTGATGTTCCACCCAACAAGACTGGGTGTTACAGTTATGAGACCGGACCAGTTGTTTCTAATTATTTACCTGCCGTGTTTATAAAAATATCCCCTCTTTCATACCAGGCACCTTCCGATTGCTTATCAACAAAACGCCCAACCAGCCGTCGCCGATGAAACTTCATTGTTTCGATTTCGATGTGTTTTCAATTATAAAAAAAGCGTTTTTCATTATCTTAGTATTTCAATTTGGGATAACCGCCAAGTATTGGATAACCAAATCGTGTTATTCCCATAACGATAACGTTTCTACATCGGACGTTCGGATGTGGTCAAGTGAAACAGCGGGCAATCAAATCCTTTTCGCTATCGAATGAGAGTGTAAATCTACTTTTAATCTGCGTGTGGAAATCTCAAAGTCCAAAAATTAAATCTCAAAGTTCATTGTCAAAGGGCGATCTACAAATGTGTGATTTTGTTTGGTACAATTTTTGCGTCCAAACTGGGGTGTCAGCCAGTTAAAGATTTCACAGTCAGGACTTGACATTCATTAAAATAATAAACTACAAAGGCAGATGTCTTCTCTGTCTTTTGCTTCTCGCGTGCGAAACAAAAAGATGAAAGGAGGAACGTCTTCTTCTACAGGTCCGGGACACCATTAGGCATTAGCGTCCCTGCTCTAATAAACCTTAAGATGGTAAAAAATTCGTCAGTCTCAAATAGGCTTTTATAACAAGCTCTTAAAACTTTTAGAACTGTTACAGCGATAATAAAGAATATAACAGTGGTTACTTATTAAACTATTTTCAATCTCTTTCTCAGTTTGGTGTTTTAATTTTCGTACATTTTGACAAAAACCCACTTGGGGTGCCCGCCTGACGAAGGACTGATGTAGATACCAGGAGGGGTTGAGTATAATAGATACAGTGTTCGTTGTCCATAGGTTTGCCTTAGAGAATATACTGAAGGAAAGAATCGAGGGTTTATTTTACTCAGCGTCCCGCCTCCAAACACAATGGGGTGCTTCTTAGGCCTAAAAATTCCGAAATCTCGGTTTGAGGTCAAATGTCAGTTGAGGTAATTTTTCAGGAGTTTCCGTTGGGAAAATGTGAAGTACCTACGGAGGTACTCCTCTTTTTTTCCATTTGAAACTAAGCGGTGGAAAATTCCTTCCCGTTTAAAAATATCCTCTGTTTTCAGGTTAGAGAGCGACAAAACGCCTGATCGATAAATGGTACGTGCAATTACATTCTAGTTGGTCGGTCGAATTCGGAAAATCCCTTAACATTATGAAACAATTACACCAACCGGATTATTCCTATAAAAAGTAAACACCCAGGGTGTCCGCTTGGTACGAGGTCTCGCACACTTACCAGAAAATCAAAAATGACGGATGATGCTATTCCGTTTCCAGAGCACATCCTTCTCTCTTGGACCACTCTTAAATAAACAAAAACGGCCTTGAATCACGGCATGTGAAATTTAAGGATATAAACAAATATATTCCTAGTCATTTTGGCGTAGTAATCCAATAACCTATATTTACAATCATCACTGAAAAAATATAAACAACAATTACAAAATGACAATTTCTCCCTATTGGTTCATTCTCTTTTCTTATATTTAATTATATGTATATACATTTATTTACCTTAACACTTACTACATACTTACTCCCGTAACTTACATAGTGGTCAGTCAACCTCAAAAAACACTCGTCACTTTTGAAATAAGCTAAGTAATACACGCCATTTGATTGGAAATTTATTCATTTTAGTAATAAAGAAGCAGAGTTGTCCAATAGATCATTAACAAGAACATGTCGTCGTCGTAAATAGTGCACATTGTAAGCTAAAGAGATTTCATTACTACTACAATATTATTGCAGTTATAAGCTATGAATAAATTAGTTTACCACATTAAAAGCTAAAAGATACGTGCAGTTGTCATACAAATTAAATACAAGAAAATTACTAGTAAGCTAAACAAGACATAATAATCAAATACAGGCAGAGCAGACTGGAAAGTAGAGAGCTGAGAGGAGAGAATTGTGATATACGGATGTGAGCGAAGTACTACAGTTCTAATATTCGATAATCATTGATATTGAATTTCAATATTAGTGAATGGGCGTCAACAGAATAGTCCTCAATCCCAAGTATAGCCTGTCAAAAGCAACTTGTGAATTTTCCTTTTAAATGCTCTTTTCGTGAGCTTACGCAGGTCAGGGTTTAGACAGTTCCATAACCTGGTACCAAACGCAGAGAAAGACCTAAATTTCACATGTAATCTAGAATGCTGTACATAAAAATTCTCTGTGGAAAAGTAACGCGTATTATATGCATGGACGTCAGATGAATTAATAAAAAGTTCACGAATATTCCTTGGCGTAGAGCTAGTAGAAACATCATGCATTTGGCGGAAACGGTTTCAAAATAGAGCATATTAATAGGTAAGATACTCGAAGTTATGAAAAGAGGGATAGCACAAGATATCATTTGCTGGAAAAGAAAATCAAACGGAGTGAACGCTTTTGTAAGGTGAGAATCTTTTTTAAATCACTCTGAGCTGCCTGACCCCAAGCAGCTATACCGTAAAGCGTGTAAGGAAAAATCAGCCGCGAACGGTAAATTTGAAGAAAGGTATTCAAAGGTACATGATGTCTAAGCCTAGCAATTATGCCGACTATTTTACTAATCTTCGAAGCAATATGATCAATATGAGGCCCCCAGGTTCTTGTCAATTAGTACACCCAAAAATTTTACATAATCTTTGCATTCAAGAAGTGTGAATCCATTGTTGTTCTTCTCCGGAAATTTGATACTTAGCTGATTCTTCTTTGTGCTGGCCTAAAAACGACAAAATTTGATTTCTTTACGTTAATGGTTAGTTTATTAGCATTAAGCCAGTCACAAACATTTTTTAGCTATTATTAACTACGGTTTCTAGGGATTTCAAGTCCTAGTCAGTATATAACAGGTTTGTGTCATCAGCAAACAGATAAAAGCCAAGTTTATTGCTACAAAGATAAATATCATTAATATAAATCAAGAAAAGTAAGGGGCCTAAAACAGACCATTGCGGAACTTCTGTTACCGAGTTTTTCTTAGATGAAATATGGTCATTATCAATATGCGTTGTTTGCGTTCGATTAGTCAAATACAACGAGAACTACTTATGTGCAACACCTCTTATCCCATAATGGTGCAATTTATCTAGTAAAATAGTGATTGACAGTATGAAATCGAGAAAAATACCACATGTGATCATTTTATTGTCCATATTAGTTTGTGCTGTATTCAATATGTCCAAAATTGCATGCCGAGTGGAAAATTTCTCTCTGAAGCCATACTGGGCTTCAAATAAAAGTTCATTATATTCGATTTATGATTTCAATCGGTTGTACATAATTTTTTCAAAAATTCTATTGAAGACGGAGAGTAGCGAAATAGGACAGTAGTTGCTAGGGTACTAGGGTCGGTCTCACCGTCGCTCTTGTATACCGGGTAACTTTTGCATGTTTTAGCTTAGAAAAATATTTTCCACTTTGGACAGAGAGGTTGATAAGCTCAGCTGGTGGTGAAGCGAGTATGCTCTTTGCACACTTCAAAACGCTGTTAGCTATATGGATAGAGCGCTGGACTGTTGTGCGTGAGATGGAGGGTTCGAGCCCCGGCCGGACCAACACTCAGGGTCTTAAAATAATTGAGAAGAATATGCTACCTTTCAATAACATCAAGAAATGGTTAGATATTCTAGTCTTCTCGGATAGGGACGAATAAATTGAGTTCCCATCTCCTGCAGGGTTAGGGGCAGGAGACGTTAATTTCCCATGCACGAGATTACTGTGATGGATGTCCTCCCCTGGGGTGGGTATGGGATGGGTGGGTAACAGGACCCCCTTTGATATCAGTGTTTACTACATTGAAGGGGCTACACTGTATAAATAATATATACTAAGCCTTGTTTGGTGGTAAAAGCGAGATTTCTAGTTCGATATATAATGAAATGACTGGTTCAAAGAAAAGGGAAGTGGCGAAATTGGTATTTGTTAAGTATTCGTTAAAGTGACAATTACTATCTTGTACATTTGCCGCTAACTTTTGGCCAACCATAGAAAAAAAATCGTTTAGCACGTTCGGCAATGCCGCCGGGTTACACGTCATTCCATTCCCGTTTAGTCGTTTAAGGCTAACAATGGGTTTTGATTTTCTTTTTTACAGTTCATTACGTTTTTGATTCCAATCAATGTTTTCTTCATATCGTTCATGTGTTGTGTGAAATATTTGTGATAATAGAGCTTTTTACTAAGACGAATTAGTAATGGTAATTGAACTAAGTGGTGTGCAATTTAGGCTGAAATCATACGCGTGATTTGAAATCACAAGTATGATTTCAGACCAAAATTGCAAGACACGAGGTTCAATTACCACTTTATTACATCCATTTTGAAATTGCCCAAATACACGACTTGGTCTATTCAAATATTTTACTGATGCAGTACTAAGCCGTTTTTAATTAATAAGTGGAACCGGAAACGCTTTTACATCTTATTTTGTATGCAAAACAGAAAGACTGACGTCATGTGTCAAAAACTCAGTCAAGCGCAAAATGATGCGATTTTGAGCAAAAAATGGTGCGATTCGTGAATAAATCGCACCAATTAGAGCTAATCAGATTACAGGGACCACCAGTGATTTCAAAATAGATGTAATAAGGGATGTAATTTTGTTTCGATAGAATTTGTATCTGTCAGTATCCCCTGAGGCGAATAGGGCGTTTTTAATTTTTATAGATCTAATTATCCCTTTGGAAATCTAGGGTTTTAAGGGTTGCTTGAATTTTCAGTGTAAAGGTGAGCTTTCGATTGAGCGTTGAAAACCAAAACCAAAGTAATCACAACAGCTGATCAGAGGAAAGGGAAATATCGCGGCCAGGGGCTACTGAGAACTCAAAGCTGCCTGAAGCGCGGGAAAACGCCGGTGACTATACTGCTATTGGTTTCGCTTTGCATCTGATTGGTTAAGTAAGTGGCACGAATTTTCCAGACCAGTCACAGAGCGAAGAAAAGCAAAACCAAATTAATCCTAGATTACTTTTGACACTCCAAATGAAAACTGCTCCTATCTATCCTATCAAATGGTAAAGGTATTTTAAGAACGCTGCATTTTCAGCTTATTAATCCTCTTCTTGTCCCCCCTTCGAAAAAAGAAATCCCATATACATTTTCCTGTTTCCAGGACAACCAGTTAGTGGTGAAAAGTGGCGAGCAAGAGGATGAGTGTGGGAGGAGGAATAACCTTCACTGAGTTTTGCTTGCTCCTTTTTCCAGTAAGAGAAAGACTGACTCGGGCTATGCATGCCTGTAGCCCTATACATGTCTTCTTTGTGCAAGTCCTTTATCTTTTCTACGTCCTAAGTATTAAGCCTCGTCCAATACTTGAATATGTCGTTTACTGTACAGCAAGCAAGTACGTATATTTCGCGTCAATTCACTTTGTCAAGGAGTTTCTATCCTTCATAAAGAGCATCCACTGATGCGAGAGATACCTTTGTTCCCCTTCCCCTTATAATTTAGTTTTATACTTCAACATGGATTCATGATGCCGCCACACATCCCCCAGAGTTTTTGGATTTTTTAATGGATTTTTCTTTTCCAGTGCACATATTTCAAAGGCTTGCCGCATTTGGAAGGCACATCTTGTGTGAGGCATCTTACCAACGGCTGTGCCAAGGCCAGGACATAACACACTGGTGATTTGATTCTGGGCGTTTTTTGCCGAGTCGTTGTGTTCCTTTACTGTCAAAAATAAGAACATATATGTTACTGGAAAAAAACGTTTATCCTGGCAATGATGATAGAGTTGAAGTGTTGGCCTAACTAAAGCCTACGCGAGGTTCTCTCATAAAAGTACGCTAAATGTCAGAGTTCAGGATCACCTTGGTACACTATGTTTTTTCCCCTTTCCACAATTCCATTTACACAAACAGCAAATGCCTGAAACAGGCTATCCTCGCTGAGGTCAAAGCACCATGTTCTTGAAGCAAGAAATGCTGTGAGAAAATTGCCTTACGTACTTCCCTTGTCTGGTGTATTATTTGCATTTCATTGTTTTCTAAATTGACTGCTGTTTGTTACCTACTATTCCAAACGAGAATTGTACCTAACAAGACAGTCAATTTTTCTTTATTTTTTTAGCATTTGTGATACTTCTTCCTGTTTTTGTTATTTTGGTAACTAGTCGTTTCACCTACGAGTCATTTCGCTAACGAGCAGTTCACTGACGTCATTTCGCTAACGACCAGTTCACTGACGTCATTTCGCTGACGTACCATAGGTCGCTTCCCTAATGTATTTGTCCATATTACAAATCGTTTAGTGATTCCATTGGCAAAACTTAATCAACTTCTAATCGACCGAAAAGTCGAAGGGGAGCTGGGTCGTCTCAATGCAAACTGAAAGTCGATTCGGTACATCGCCAAAGTCGATTCAACACAAAGTCTAATTGATAAAACTCAAGACATTTTGATGCAAAGTAAAGGATAGAATTGAAGGCTTTCATTCGTCTATGGAGTAATAAACCAAAGTGCACTTAAAAAGCGCCGGTATTAGCAAATATTATACATAACTTAAAAGAGATGATTGTGGAATAACCAAAAACGTTAGCAAACTGACCTGAGACGTTGGCGAAAAGACTTAAGACGTTGGTGAATAAAGGGGGCAAGTGTCTAAAGAAACCGTGGTGCTGCGTCGGTGGGGGGTAACAAGGTAATTTGGTCATATCAACTAAGTTGAAATTGTATACCGGCCATCGTAAAGAGTAAAAAAGCTGACGTTTCGAGCGTTAGCCCTTCGTTAGCTCTGACGAAAGGCTAACGCTCGAAACGTCAGCTTTTTAATTCTTTACGGTGTCCACTTTGCAATTTCAACTTGGTTGATATAGCCAAATTAAGATGTTGGTGAGCTGGTCGTTAGCGAAACGACCCATTGGCGAAACGACCGCAATTCTTGTTTTTGCTTTTTTTGTTGTAATAGTTTGTTACCGATTTTTAACAAATTACCAATTCTTACCCACAAATGTTTTTTAGCTTGCATCAACCTTTTTAGCTATTTCACAAGATTACACAGTAGTATAATGGTGGCAATTTGTGTAGTAAAACCTTGATTAATCTGCATGGGGAACACCCTTCAAGGAACTGCCATTCTATCTGGAGTAGCAGTACCCCCTTGTTCTGTTCCTTCACGATATTGAAACCAAGGTTGGTTCGGGTGGAGAGGGCCCGCGAGGGACCTCCAGATCACTTCAGGCTTTCAATTTTATGCTTACAAAGATATATAATGTCCATTTTACTAACCAGCTATTATGACTGCTCTGAATGCCAGATAAGCATTGACAGTATCAGTAACATTCATTGGTATTCTCATTGTTGGTGCGCTGATGAGGTACTTTATTAGTTTTCCTTCATTAAACTCAGGATTTTCAAACTTCTTTTTACTGTCATTTGAAGAGAGTGTCTCAATGATCACAGCTTGACCTACAGGTAGTTCACCATCATGGTTCTCTTTCAAAAATGCTTGGAGTCTGTGCTGCATTTGCCAGCCAAAGTGATTGCTGAAGACCTGAGGTTCACAACCACAAAATGGGCAATGATAATCAGGCAGGGTGAAAGGGTTTGGTCAAAGGGGAGTGTCTAGAGTGCTATTTGTTAGGAGAAAATAATAATTTATTACATTTATTAGATTTGGACACATCACTGCATGATGCTCACAATAAAGTTTCAGTTGTAGGTCAGAGGGAAGGGACCTTGAGTAGAAACTTTTCTTAGCAATGACAAACCTGTCTTGTGCACTATGTATGGGAAAGCTTCAATACTGTGTCACTTTTGTTTTGGTAATTTTTTGGATCATGTTTACTATAGGTACTCTTGACCCATATGTTGGTTGATATATCATTCGAGAGTAGGCTGATACTCCACTAATATGTCAGTTGACACTTGGTTGACATGCAGTCCACGCTCAAAAACCACCTCAGAGAGCAGCATGATATGGAGCCAGACATCACACAAAGTTTTAGAATCTTAAAGTCTCAGAACAAATTTGACTGTCTCATTTTTGAAATGTTTTTTATCAAAGAACTCAAACCAACACTAAAAAAACAGTGCAATTCAATTTGTGCCAAATTATTTGTTTAGAGTAGCTCTTCTTATTATTGGTCCATTGTTTTAACCACAGCATTTTTGCACTTTCTTACATATTTTATCGTATTGTAGCATTCGCCACATTTTTACCCATTTCAACTTTTTCTACATTTTTATGCTAATTTAGAAAACTTTTACTCACTTGAAAATGGCCTCGAAGAGGTCGAAACGTCGTACTTTGTTATCGCTCATTTTTATCTCGAAATCAATCACGAAGAAATTACTTATTGAAATCTTCCAAATTTTGCTTTTAAAATCTCCCTTGGACCTGCCCCAATAAGGTAATTATACATCTTGTCTTACCATGTCAATACCTCCATCCATGAATCCAAAACTGTTTGCTGGGGACACAATAGCATCTGCTGTAGGAGCCCCTTTGAAAATGTCTCCACAGGATATCTGCCAAAAATTAAGTCAAGAAACGTCACGTTTGAGAAAATTACAAAACATGTTGGGAAGTGTCATTCTTTCCATCAGTTTTAAGTATTTTACAATACTACGTACACATATGTTGAGGAGAACAGGCTTGGTTTACGTGCAAGTTAATAGCACGCCATCTTTCAAAGAGTTTTGTATCGAATGAAATCACACCTTAACGGTATTGCTGTACGAAGCAAATTCTTCCTGCCATGCTTCAACCATTCCTGTGTTTATGTCCCTCAGAAGAAAAGTCACCTCCGAAATGTCCATGTTTCTTTAGGCGTTCTGAAAAGTAAGAATGGGCCGATACCGATATCAAATATCTGATGCCAGCTAACTATGATGCCAGCAGAGTTAATCTATTAACTCTGATGCCAGCAATACCGAGGTCGGATACCAGCTAAAGGTATCGATTCTTGCGATACTACACGCGCTTTAATCTCCCGTAACTAACCGCTGACGAGTAGCCGAAAATACTCCGGGCTCGAGATTCACATTGGTGCATCCTCGGAGACCCAGGGGCGGTGGGTCGATTTCAAGTTAGGGCATAACTTGAAATCGACTCAGCCTCTGGGTCTCCGAGGATGACATTGGTAAAGATCGGTAAAGACTTGTTTCCGTCTTTCAAAGTGCCCTTGGACGTGAGGTGCATGCCTGGGAATGAAATTAAATCACTGGAATATAATATTAGAGCCCAACTACCGACGATTTGCGACTCCGAACGTTCCCTCTTCTTGCTGTGCACAAATTTTAAGTCTACTTCGTGTGTGTTTTGAGTCAAGAGAAAACATCTGGCTTAGTAAACATCACATCCAGCATAGTTCTGTCGCTTAAGGTTTATTTTCGCCGATTAACAAAGAAATCAAAGACATGAAACCTCAATGGCGGTTTCAGCTATGGAAACGAGTAGCTGCACGACGGATTTGCTTTGTTTCCATATCTCAAACCGCCCTTGTGCCCTTCCAAAATCGGTTTCCGGTTCCGATATTGAAAAAATGTTTCGCGCTCTTTTTCAAATTCGCCAGAAAAGAATAATCTGATGTCTTAGTTTCTTTAATGGAGTATATTTGGGCAATGGCAAGCGATGCAGATGTTGCATATTATTTATCGGAAATTTTCGATGTACATTTATTCAGCAAGTCTGGCTACGTCTACCAATCTTAAAATATCATGTATTACATAACAGTTATCTCTGAGAAAGTTATGGCTACCGCTAGTTTATTCTGGATTCCAAAAGCTTTTGCGTGAGTCTGTTTCTCATTGGAAATCTTGAAGTACAAGCTGCAAAAATATACTTTGTCACTAACAGTATCACTTGTGCCTCTCATTTCTTTACTGACTGAACACTCTCTCAGGAAGCCTATTTAAAAGTTTTTGAAAGTCAAAGTAGAGTAGTTCTATGGTGACCGGAAGACTTGACTTAAATACAAGTGGAATGTTCAGCTTCCATTTTCAAAGCTTTACTTTATTGGAGGTCTTGCATTACCAAGACTTGTTAGATTCTACAGCCCAGGGTGGTATGTCAACACACTTAAGGTGCCACCAGTCATTGTAGTGGTGACATTGCACATAGGCGTCACCAGTAGGAGGAGTAGGGGAGGGGATATGATTGATCTGGTGGGTAGCAGAAAATTCAGTGGTAAACAATAAAGACAATAGAGTGTTTATGTCTCGGAACTATCGGTCCGATAGTTGCCCCTTGGAAATTTGATGTTCTTAAATCTGGCATATTTGTTTTAAGAACATCAAATTTCCGCAGGGCAACTATCAGTTGATAGTTCATGGAGAGAAACACTCTATTGTTTAAATATCCTCCGATGAGACATAGAAGAGGTATAGAACAAAACTTTGACCTACCCAAACCCTCTATAGAATGAAGCAATTTCCAAAGCAGCACTTTGAGGAGTTCCACTCTGCTCTGAATTTTCTACTTGAGGAGATGTATTGATATGTTAACACCAATTCTTGTCTTTTTCAACTTGTTTACTCCTAGTACCCCAAAGTAAGTGTTTTAAATTATTTAAATATTCCTTTTTGGATTTTAGTGTTCCTTGCATAAGTACAACTTACAACCAATAACATATGAATTAGAACAAGAACAAACGACACTTGAATAAAGTATTTACATACTATTTACTTGTCAATGATTATTTCTTGTTTTATTTCTGCTAAAATGAAGATGGGTGTTGTTAATCACCCCCTCCTCCCCCCCCCCAAAAAAAAAATTGAAAAATTTGTGGGAAATTTTATCATGATTAATGATTACTGAGTAACCCATACCTGCAGTTTCATTTCTTTTCTCTTTTGTTTCCAAGCTTTCTACCTGTCTTTTCCATTTCGATAGTTAAAAACTTTTTGCCCCAAAACAAAATATGGTATGCCATCAAATTTCAACTTTTGGTCTTCACACATGACTTTGTGAGTTGTAGCTGATGGGTTTAACACAGAACTATAACTTTGCGTCTGCAAACAAGTGATTTTGTCAATGGGTATTCTTATCACTCATAATGTGAATTCTAACCCAGTCTTGTAAAGATCATATTAGAGAGTTTGTTGAAACATATACTATTCAATCTCTGTTAAGCCCACCGGGGATTATGGAATTTCAGGCCTCATTGATAGGGGGTTTATTTGAAGGGGAGTAATACAGAGGGGAGGAGCATGGAGGAGAGGGGGGTGGGCACTTCAATTGTAATCTATAAAAACTAGCAATTCATCTTAAAATATATCTTCTTTTGCTAAAAGAAAATTTAAATATAACAGATTGATTGGTGATGTATTGTGCTGTTCCTTCTCCCAGTGCCTTTACAGAACTAGACCAACTGAGGATTTAGTTGGTCCCCTTTTATAGTAAACAGATGGGAGAATAACACAGAATTTGGCTTATTTGCACAGTCATACTAACCGATACTCCCAAAGTTGTCATCCACCACCCAAAGAGTGAACAATGAGTTTGTACACAACTCCCATTCTTTGACAATTTCGTCGATCTTGTAAGATTGGTAAACGTAGCCGGACTTGCTGGATAAATTGAAAATTTCCAATAAATGAGATGCAACATCTGCATCGCTTGCCATTGCCCAAATATACTCCACTAAAGAAACTAAGATATCAGACTATTCTTTTCTGGTGAATTTGAAAAAGAGCAAGAAACATTTTTTCAATACCAGAACTGGAAACCGATTTGGAAGGGCACAAGGGTGGTTTGAGATATGGAAACAAAGCAAATCCGTTGTGCAGCTACTCGTTTCCATAGCTGAAACCGCCCTTGAGGTTTCATGTCTTTGATTTCTTTGTTAATCCGCGAAGATAAACCTTAAGCGACAGAACTATACTGGATGTGATGTTTACTAAGCCAGATGTTTTCTCTTGACTCAAAACACACACGAAGTAGACTTAAAATTTGTGCACAGCAAGAACAGGGAATGTTTGGAGTCATAAATCATCGGTAGTTGGGCTCTAATTATATTCCAGTGATTCCATTCCCAGGCACCTCACGTCCAAGGGCACTTTGAGATATGGAAACAAGTCTTTACCATGCACATTTTGTGATTTTATGAGCAATCGAGCAATGTAGGATTGCTGCAGTGTACGAAAATGAAGACCCTGCATTAGCAAAAAGAATTGCTTACATTTTTAACGCGAGCTTTCCAGCAGAGAAGGCTTAACAACCATCAGAATTAATTTTAGTTATGAAATACAGTACAGTAGACGTTTTAGGGACTGGTCATTATTTATCGGGAGGGGGGCTGGTGCAATGTAAAATATGCCACGCTTAATTTTTGCTGAGCGCCCCTTTTACTTTAACATGATTTTTGCTGACCCTTTCCCTCCCATCCCCCCTTGTCCTTGGGCATGCATGAAACAAAAAGTATCTATTTCTCAAGTCACCATGTCGAACTGATAGACATTCTATTTAAAGTTACCTTAAATTTGGATTTGAGTTGCTCTTTGCCCAGACCGTGTGTAGACAATTGTCGTATATTGACATTAAAGTTCTCGGTGCTCTCAATCATTTCTTCTTCTTCAGTCGACTCCTCTTCTTCTTCAGAGCTTGAAATACCAATCTCTGCAAGGACACAGTCTTTTTCCTCTGAGTCGTCTTCTGATTCACTACTGAGTGAATCAGAAGACGACTGATTGTTGCTCTTCCCATCCTCCTCTCTCTCTATGCGTTTAGCAAGTTCTTGGATGATACTTTCTCTAATTGCTTCCAGCTTTGCCTTCTTTGTTCCATATTTTTTTAAGGTTATGATGGTTATGTATAAAGCTATTTTAATAGGCTGTATTTGTTGATGGCACCCAGATGCAGCTTTTGACATTTTTCTGGGCAAAACGTTTGCATATTTTTTAATGGCCCCCCTTTTAAGCCATGCATAAAAAATGGTGGCCCTCCCTATTTGCACCAGTCCCCCCCCTCCCGATAAACAATGACCAGTCCCTTATTTATTGACAGAACCTAAGTCATTTACTGTTCAGAACGCGTTCTTTGTTATTCTGTCACGCAATGCTAACTATAAATCAAAGGCGGCTAGCGTTCGAATTCTGCCTGCTGTTTTAGAATAATATGTGTGGTAAGTTTACCCGAGGTAACCCTCCAGAATATCAACACCAACTTGGCTCGCATAGCGAAACAGAAGTTACAGACAAGACGGGCCAGTAGTACTGGCAGTATAATAATGGGAAGAAACGCGTGAAGTGTAAACTATTARATTACTAAGCGTTGTTGCTGTTTAATGTGTGTTTAACTTGTAATTTATACGGTTTTCTGTTCGTTTACGAAAACGAAGACCGGGTCTTAGGTCTTAGGTCTTCGTTTTCGATGGTGTTCGTTTTCGTAACACCCGTATCGATATACATACATACATACATACATACATACATACAAGAAGAATAGAACTTCGAAGAAAAAGAAAAAAGTAAATATCGTACTTGTTATCGTATCGATTCGAAAAAGCCGTATTAGTCCATCCTTACTGAAAAGCAACAGCAGTTGAAGATTTCCTTATACTGATTGCTTTCATAATTAAATAGTTTACCCTGTAGTCTGTTCGTGGCGGTATCACCTCTGATGGGAAATTACAGTAGAATTACATGAATAAAGAAGTGAGCGATCCCAAAATGGCGACTTCAATGATCGCACTAAGGTTTTCCACCCTGAATAACTCAAGAAGTCTGGTATATTTTTGAACAAATTCGACATTTAATTCATTCGTATCTTAATTTATCCTGCTTTTGCTTAATGAACTGCGCCTTTGTCTCGTAGTGCTGGAATACGTCAAGGAAGTTTCTTTCTACTGTACCAGGATTACACGTGGGTAAAACCTAAAAAATTGTACTGTAAACCTGCTGAATGTATTCGAAAAATATGTGTCTGTTGCAAAATTTGAAGATTACTGTGCTTAACTATAACCTGGACTATTAGCTTTAGCTTTGGCGATTATGTGAAATTGAAGGTAATTTTGATTTTAAAGTTCGTATCGTCATTCTGATCTAAATCTGTACTACACTACGCAGTTATTATATTTTTTTCATAAGATTATTTTGGGTTTTATGATGAAAAGTTAACACACTTGCCAGGGGCTGATCTTTGCCTGCTTCCTCACACTAATCAATACATTTTGTTAAAAACTGTGGGTGTGAGACGGGTGTGACGACGTATTAACATCTGAAGTGAGGTTAAAGTTGCCCAAAATTTCATGTTATTAGAACAGTATATTTTAACCCTTAAACTCCTATAAGTAGTCAAGAGAGAATTTCTCCTTGCAATATCCATATAATATCACTGTTGCATTCCTGGTGTTGCAGACATTTGGTGTTTGGTACCAAAGTTTGCTAAACCAACCACCATCATGTATGAGTCAAGCAGCAAGATTCAAATTCATTTATTTAAGATCCAGGCCAGTAACCCTCCTGCAGGGGTGAAAACTAAAGAAATACACAGTATTTTGGAATAAGGGAAACAGAAAAAGTTACAGAACAAAAGTGCAAAAAAAAAAAGATAGAATGTAACAAGTGTGACTTACCTCCTGGTTAGCTCAATGGATAGAGCTCTGGACTGTTGAGAAGGAGGTTGAGGGTTCGAGCCCCAGCCCGACCATCACTCAAGGTCTTAAGATTGTTAAGGAGAATGTACTACCTCTCTATAATATTAGGAAATGGATAGACATTCTAGTCTTCTTGGATAAGGATGAATAGACCGTAGGCCCCGTTTCCTGCAGGGTTTGGGGTAGGAGACATTAATTTCCCACGCACGAGATCACTGTTTGATGAATGTCCTCCCCTGGGGTGGGATGGCCTTTGATCATTACATGTTAAAAGGCACACTATAAATTGATAAATTATTATTATTATTATTATTATTATTATTATTATTATTATTATTATCATTGAATTTTGCCACTGAGGGATAAAGAACTCCTAGTCTCCTAGCTCTTGGGAAGCTTCGAATGCCAAACTCTGTTAGGGTAACTTCTAGCACCATAAGCAACTGCTGTAAACTAATCTAAGAGCTCATGGAAAGGAAATTTATTTCACACTTTGATATAAGGGAGATAAAAATAAACAGAGCTAACCACCTCCTGGTTAGCTCAATGGATAGAGCGCTGGACTGATGTGTGGGAGGTCGAGGGTTCGAACCCCGGCCGGACCAACACTCAAGGTCTTAAAATAATTGAGAAGAATATGCTACCTTTCTATAACATCAAGAAATGGCTT